CCGTGTATATGTAGGTTAGTCCTTTGTGGGTCCTGATTTACCTGATGATCACTTTCAAGTGTCAGATGATCACAAAATACTAAAGTCATTAGAAAATATTGAAGTATATAGCGAAAGACAACCTGAAATTTAAGGAATGGAAACATGTAGGAATTTAAACCCAAATTTATAGGGTTTTGAGTTCTATAATAATTTTTTTCTCTAAAAGATATAATAATATAAAATACTTCAGATATTCTCAATGATATTTTTGCAAAGGTGACATATTTGGTAAAAATTACACGCTACTAACTGTAAACAGGAACGCAAAAGCACTCCAAAGCACGTATTCAAACACAATGCATCTCCTAGCACGACCCTGCCTACCCCCCACCCATCGCCAAAACATCACAACACATTTGTTTAATGAAAGTAAAAAGAAAACCCACTAACACCCCACCTCAGCTCCCCACATTTTCTTAAATCACAAGGATGGATTAAGGCTACCATTTGTTTTATAAAGATGACTAGCTGAGGAGCAGTAAATAACTACATATTCTAAGAACAAAAAATCCCAATGAATGACAGAAGAGTTTGGACTTAAAAGCTTCTCCATGTCCCCTACAAAACCAATTTTCACCACCTTCCTATAAATTCATAAAAAAGCCTTTTTCAAACAGATTCCCTGCTCAGAAATTTGTTACACTGCAGTAAAGACTGAGTCATTTGTAAAAAACTGAATTCTTACAACAGAGTACCTTAAAAAGGTGACACAGAATTTTTGATTTAAGTTTAGCAATATTATTTAATGATTTCATTCTTATTTCACACACGACCTAAAAAGTTACTTTCATATAACAAAAATAAAACATTTTAAACTGAAAACAGAACACAGAATTACCCTCACAGTTCAGAAATCAGCTTTACAGATAACCACGCAAGTAGGTATGTTGGTTAAAAGTCAGAGTTAATACAGTGCTTCACTTCTAAGAAGAACAAGCATTGGAATGGCAACTTTTATCTAACTTCACTCAATTTTAATCAGGAAAATTCAGGATAATTAATTATTGTGAAAACATACATATATACTTTTATAATAGTTTTTTTAAATGCAGTTAGGTGATTTCTGAGTCAAGACTATCTCCCTTCTAAATCGGCTGAATCTATCTGAAAAATAAGCTTATAGGGAAGATTCTCCTCCTTCAACACTGCTTTCTAGTAACGATATATTCATTATGTCATTAGTGTTTCAACACTCAGTCACATCACTAGAAAGTTTTTCACAACACGTGTGAAAAAGCCAAAGCATTTTAATTATATAACCTAAAGACACATAATCTCTTACTGTTTTAATAACTAAATGTAAACACAAAGAATCTCATGAAGCTGGTTAAAGTTGTAAGTATGAAGCTAAAAGCACTCAATCTAACAACCAAACAAGTGAAAAGGTCCCATATCTACTATTCCACATTCTGCTAACATGCTCGTTTGTCTTCTGAGTAACTTGTATGCATGTGAGCCAGCTCTTCATAGCATCTCTGCCAACTGTTCTTAAGAGTCACATCACCCTTTATTATCTTCCTATCCCTCAGTGAAGAAATAAATGAGTCTGTTCATGTGTTGGTTTTTGGTGGTTTGTATTATTTTTCATCCTGTGTTTACTGCATGTCATTCTCCAGGACCTAACAGAAACTGCATCCTCAGCATTTGTTACCTCTAAATTCTGCTATACGGCAAACACTAAAAACAAACACTTAAATGTATTAATTTTTTATGCTTCCCATTATATTTTCCTCAAAGATAGCTTTCTTACAACAGCAAACAGAAAAGTTGACATATCTTTAAGGTATTATGTCCTATACTTGTATTTGCTAAGACCTGAAGGAAGTATTCATGTGGGGTGTGTTGTTTGTTTGGGTTTTTCTGTGCTTGGTTTGTTTTCATTTTGATGTTTTGGGTTTTGGGGGGGGGGGTTTAAGTTACAGAATTTAAATGGGGATGGCTGGAAGGCAGAAAAGGAGATTATACATTAAGCTCAACATTTAGAAACTGAATTATAGAATTAGCAATTACAGAATGAGATTGTATTCCTGTTTATGGCTCTTCACTGATCAATGCCTACTCACCTACCTTCAAACTGTTTTCCACTGAAAATCGTTTTAGATGCTAAAATTAACATTGTATGTGTGTCTGTTAATCTCATCCTATAGATTGTTTCTCAAGAGAACAAAAACAACAACAAAAAGAGTATGGTAACTCACCTCTGCACTCCATACGGCCTTTCCAGAATAGGCTCCTTAAAAGGGGGTGGAATATGGCCAAAATAATCTGGATAGGCCACTTCTGAATATTCAGGAATAGACTTCGTGGTTTTTACCATTTCAATATAAAGTTCACAGTCATGAACATCAGAAACCTCAACCATGACTTGTTCCCCTGATGAACTAGATCTGGAATCTTCCTCCTCTGAATCCACCCCAGTGCAGCAGAGTTTTCCCAGCTGGACAGATGATCCTTCAAAGAGGCTACTTCCACAGGGTGAAGCATGTTCACAAGGTTTACTACAAGCAAAACTAGCCTTACCACATTTGCTTTCCTTCTTGATTACACACCCTGTGCCATAATACTGATCATGCTTTGCACTGTTCTGCAGACTGATCCTGTCCAAGCCTTTCACGATTTCTTGGCTTAGACACTGGCATGATGGAGGCAGGTTTCTTGGATCAGTTTGCTGATGTAACCTACTGTCTTTGATACCATCTTTCTTTGGTAGTTCTAGAAAGGCTGGCCTTATATTGTATTCCTCTGTCAACAGAGGATTGCCCTCCTTCAGAGCAACTCCTTTCCTTGACCGTTTTGCTTCATCGGAGTGCTCCTCTCCTGCTGTAGGAACAACAATAGGTCCACTCAGATTTGCATCAGGTACAAAAGGCTTTGGTTTCTTGGAAACTAAGTCACATTCCTTAAAAAAATAGGAGAAAAAATAATAAAAATATTTATTAAAAAAAGTAAAGAGTTCCTAAAGCTTCCTTTATATTAGAAACCTCCCTTTCATTGTTCCTGGGCTATGTTTTGCAATAACACAAAATAATTTAAAAGACAACAGCTACACTGTTTTAAAGTCACATAAACATAGCAATGAAGTTTCAGCTACTGCAAGAAAATACCATCAAAGCAATAAACAAGTAGCTCATCAATAACAAATTACCAAGTCAATGCGATTCCCCAGGTATTTTAACCAACTACTTTAAAGAGGTGCACAGCATTTAAGGAAACACCTAATACAATTAATATGGTCAGACATCTTGTGTCTCAGTATTTTACTTTCTGCAATGTACCATAATCAGACATCAGGAAACACTTGTCCTTTGTATCTGCCTACAGACCCCTTCCTGCTCAGATTAAAACAACCCATAATATTTAACTAAATAACTTGCTATATAGCACTCTCATACGTAGCTCTAGAACTGCAGACTCATTTTTTAGCTAGAGGAACTACCTACCCAAAAAACAAAGTCAAAGTGTTTTCCAGAGTCAACCTGTCATGATGAGGAATGACCCAGGAATTATATACGATACCTGAAAGTTTTCTGAAAGTTCTGGGAAAAACTGCTCATATATTTTCAGTTCTTCCATTGGTCTTCCCAATTCCTGTCTAGGTTTCAGTTTACTAATATCAGTCTCAATATCATCATTCTGAAAGAGCACCAGAACAAAATAAACTTTCATCCAGAATTAATTAACTAATAGAATAATTACATTCACTTTTTACTTCTGATATGGCCATAAAAGCTGATAGTGCTATTTTAAAACCAGCTGAACTGCACCTTTCACCAGGAAGATTTAAGCAGCTCAGTTTTATTAGTATGCCAAATCCTCCATTTCAACAGAAAAATACAAACATCTCCATTTTCTTGCTTTCATCCGAATGTATTCTGCAGAGACATCAGACTACACTCTACATGAGACCTGTGCATAATCCAGCTACTGCAACCTGGAACGTGGAGATTTCATCTGACAGCAGTGACAACAGAGTAACTGCTTCTATGGAAGATAGGTATCAGAGCTCATGAAAGCCTGGAATAAAATTTGCCATTTCAGCCTGTGGAAGGACAATTCAATTAACTCCTGAATAGACATAACGTAAGTACAGAATAAGGCCGCTCTGACCGAATGCCCCTTCATGTCCTGAACAGCATCCCGAGACCAGAACAAGACCATCCCAAGTGATACAACAGTGAGAGGTCTGACCTCTTCCCCTACAGCTGGCTGAACTTCAATGTTACCTTGCCGAAACACCGCCTCAGTCAATCCCCATCCAGAATGATGGACAGTTAGAGAAGCTCCACATATTAAAAAGCTTAGATGGGAAGAGTGGGGTGAGAAAAATACAAGTTGGGAACAGAACACTGCTAAAAGAGTTCACAGTTCTGTTCCACTGTACTCCAGACACATCAAGTGTGAAGCAGAGAGGTTTTGGTAAGAGTCTTGAAGCAATCTGAACAACGGTTGCTATTTTCAAGCAACACCTATCTTCCTTCAGTTTCAGGAGCTTTTTTAACTTTAGATATTTCCCTGAAAACCTCCTCAAAGTCCTTGTAACACTTAAACCATACAGCTGTACACATGATTCAAACAACTTCAAATTAACAGGCAAAAATCAGGCATAACAGCTGGGGGGGAGGGTGTGTGTTTTGTCTTATACCAACCTTAAAATGTTGGTCCGTGTCATCATCATTTTCGGTTTCAATTTCTGATTCTGTTTCAGCATCATCATTATCATCACTTTCATCTACTACATCATCCACTGTGACACAAAACAGTTCAGTAAAGCAGATTACACATTTAATCCAATATGTATGCTCAAAAAAAATGTTATGTTCTGCATTTATTTTCTTTTTTACTAACCACTTAAAAAATTCTGAAAGCCAACTGGTTTTACCAACAGTTATTACTATTACCACATTTACAAATCAAAATGCTTTTTTAACAATACTGCAGACTCAATTAATTACATTTCTATTCAGTTTTAAGACAAAACAAAGGTCTTTGGCTTAAACAAAGCCAAACAAAACCAAACAACGTCCAACACTCCCCTGCCCCCTAAAAACCTGCAAGGCAGCAGAGGGCTTTTAGAACTACTTTACAGCGTGGATGTGCCAAGAACATCTCAGCACAGCTTGAGGTCATCACAAAATGACACCTTTTTCCAAAGTAAGAATGACCGTGTCCAAAAAAAAACAACACTGAGGTCTCAGCAGCTTTTAGTCATGTCAGCTAGTAATGACACAGTATCATGGAAAACTAGAACAAGGTACCCTCGTTTTTGTCTTGCTTAAAGGGGGCCTAACAATAAAAAAAAGTCAGAAATACATCTATCACTGGATATTCAACCCACAAAAATTTCAAAAAATATATAAAATTGGCAAGGAGAATGATCTCTGCAATTGCTTAGCACAGACAGGCTGGGAATACCCCAAAAACACAGAGCAAGATGTTTCTAAATAGGTATTACGTAGTAACAAAAAAAAACCCTATTAGGTAGAGGTTTAATTTCTGTGGATTTTGGAACACACTTCTAAATCTATTTTCTGCTTTGAAGACAAAACATAAACAAACTCTAAACTCCTGCAGTTTGAGTCTGACCCATATGAACCCTAATCAGACATCCGTCATCTTCTGCATTATGATCACATTTAGGAGATACCGTGAATAAGAAGATATTAAGAAGTCTGACTCTGCTTCTTCATTTTAGAGCAACTTTCTGACAACAACTTCATCAATTGCTTACCCAGATATCAAGCTGTGTCACTATATCCAAAAATACACTAAGCATTAATTATCCAAAAAACAATGAAAGGTGTTCACAATGGGACGAAGCACCATACAAATGCTTTGCAGGGAGTGTTGCCAAAGAGACTGCAACAATCCAACAATCCAATCAACATGTCAATGAAGGAATAAACATAATTATTTAAAAAACAATGCTTCAAATGGTATGTGTTAATCTAAATTCACTTCATCCAGTTTATCATAGCAACAGGAAGAAATCAAGGAATATACACTCCTGTAAAACAGCTTGTACGCTACATTACATTTCACATAGAATGTATATATTGAGTTAAGAAGACAGCACATTTAAGTTTGTAGACTAACATACATAGCCTATGATTTATCCTGCAGAGTCTGATGAAAATCACATATTAGTCCCTATTTTATTTTCTTATTTTGTATCTCAGAAACATAACCACACATGCACAGACAGAATTTTCATTAGTTAAAACCTAACATTAGAAACTGGTCCTCCACTTTGCTAGCTGAGAAAAGTCTCAGAGTCCAAGTTTTAGTGGAGAAAACAAATAAATGCAATTGACTCCACCATACATAGCCTGAAGTCAGACATACTCAGACAAAATATTACAAAATTACCATACCATCAGGAGGCAAATTGTACAGCTGAGCCACAGGACCACTGGAAGGAATCACTGGGAGTTGGAAATGGAAAGCACTTTTAATAGTTGGTAAAGGAAGACGGTTTTTAGGAAAACATTTTCTCATTATCAGGCTGGATGTGTTGACAAGCGGATCAAGAGTTCTTACTGCAAGGCACTCCTATTAATAGGAAAGTAATGAAGAGAAAAGTATATTTCAAACTAACAGCCAAATTGCATTTGTTTTGCAGATTTCTAGAATTCACTAATAGCAAAGTATTTTGTTTACAATAGATTTTGCTAATGTCTCCTCTGAAGACCAGAAGAACTTCTAGCAACTCAAATCCACCTTTTTTCAAAAACCCAGACTTCAAAATTAAAGACTTCCCCTATCTTTTTTAAAAATAAATTAAACAGCACCCTCCCCACCCACCCCACTGCAATAGTCACAGCCAAATAACAGCAATACAAATTTAATTCTGTACTCTCACTCCTCTTTAGTCAAATACAGAAAATAATCCTTACCCTCATAATCAGGAATGACCATGAATATCATAAAGAACTATGACAAACTGGAGGTCAGGGTGCAGTTTTAAAGCCAAAGAGGTAAAAAACCAAAACCAACAATAACAAAAAAACAACTTACTTGTGAAGTGTTGTAAAGAATTTTCATCCCGTTGGCATCAATGAATGCTTTTCTTCCCAACTTGATGTTTGTAACACTTTTAATGCACTGTAAAACTCCTTTACGTATCAGCATGTATCTGTGTCGACTATCGTGACTGTGCCAGTCAACATAAATCATTAAAAGCACCTGCACATATCCTCTGTCTACTGCTCTCCTGGCATTTGTTTCTTCATTTAAAAAAAAAGAAGTTTGGAGTAAATTAAATATTGCCCAACTACTCCAATATTATCTTCAAACCAATGCTAAAATTTGACCTTTTACCTAAGCACTGAATTGTTTAATTTTAAGTAGTATTTTAGTCATGCTTAGCAGTGTTTTACAACAGACTAAACAGAAATGACTGAATTAAGTGAGGCCAGTAGTCTACACTTCATTGTTCAAAATAATGTTGCATGTACTTTTCATGGTTTACCAGAAGAACACTGGGCATCACACTTAAAGGTAACTGTAAGATACTGCCAGCTAGCAAATTAAAAAAACCCCAGGGTTTATATAAAGCATATATATCTCTATCAACAGGCACTATGTAAACACAAGATTTGAAACAAACTTCTTAACGCTGTATGGATTACTAGTTTTGCAACAATGATAACTCAAATATGATAGACTCAAAATATCTATAAACCAAATACAATCACTATGACAACTGGACTCTACACACCAGAGATCAGTGTTTTTATGAGAAGATTCACCTATGTGAAGGGTAGTAAATTACAATGTCAAAATCCCTCAGGACTGAATAAAACACCTCTAAATAGATGCAAATTCAACATTTAATTTCTGTCCTCAACATTAAAGTCTGGTTGCCAACTTACAGAACAGTGACAACAATTCAGAAGTATTTCTTTCTCTCAATTTCCCAAGGAGAAATTCCAAAATTAGTAAACACACAACTCTGTAACAGTAAGGTATCACACTGATCGAACATGACAAAAAACTCAGCACCTTGTAATAACTGATACAGAACCTTCCTGTCATTTGTCTGAAAAGGTTTCCTGCAAATCTAATCACACCTCAGATCTCCTCCAACTCCACTAAAACTACTAGGAAAGCTGTAGCTTTTATACAACTACTTGGAGAGAATGAGTTTTTATTTCCTTGTCAGTTACAATCCTGGTGCAAAATCTGCAGAGATTACATTTATCGGGATCTTCTGCTGGGAGCCGAGGTAGCCCCTGTCTGGGAATAGACTATCGTTTTGTTACTGTCGGTTCCGCTTCAAGAGGAACACCCTCAGACTTGTCATTAGGACCCAAGACCTAACTACTCAGAAAGGTACCTGAAGAAACCCTGTGTTTTCCCCTGCCATCCAGCATGTATTTAGAGATGTATGTGTAAAGATGACGCACAGGGAGTTAAGCTATATAGATAACTGCTACTGAAGAGCTGAGGTGAGTGTAAAAGGTTGTTTCTCCACCTTGGATCCAGATCAGTTCTGCAGAAGCAGCACAGCCTTTCTACTGCATAACTGAAGGGACAGTAGCTAATTATTAAACACATGTAGATACCACACAAATATAAAACCGTTGCCTTGAATTTCCCAGCTTTGATTTTGGTTTGGCCACAGACAATACAGTCAGTGTTACTGTATGCAAACACACACACATATGTATGTATCTCAACCGAACGGTTTCTTGCAGTCACTTACTTGATTTGAGCAATGCAGCAAGTGTCTCTAAAGCAACCCTGTCAACATAACAAGAAAAGTCAAAACAACCAACCAGTAAGCTTAATCTACAACACTGTAAAGCTATACAAAATATTTACTGCTTACAGATTTATTTAGCATCTTTATGTTTTCCTGGTTGCACTGTTATCACATGCTTTTTTTTTTTTCCTTTTAAAATCTGATCTTACTAAAATATCAGGTATCTCAGCTGTATCTGAAGGCTGATGGTAAAATTTAAAAATTGCAGTGCAACAGCTATACAAATTTTCAGCCTTTGCAAAAAAACCACCGTGACAACACGATGTTTATGAACCATATCCAGTTGATGAGATACTTCTGAAACTCACGGTTTTACGTTAGTAGCAGAACAAGTACTTCCACAAAGCAAAGGACATTATTTTAGAAAACTGTAGGTCAAAACTGGCAGTGTATGAATATATGGAGGAGTAATGTTCATCAGTCTGTATTACAATACAAGGTTGTCAGTGTTCTTGTACACAAAGATCTTACCTCAATTAACTCAGGATGTGCAACTAGAAAACTTATATACTTATTTTTACCCTCTTTGTAAAGACAGACTTCACACATCTGATCTTAGACCATAAACAAGGATATCATGATTACTCACATCATGGAATAGTAAGTTCATATGTCTAATTTTAGCTGGGGCTTAAAGGGGCAGGGTATTTGTTTAAAAGATACTCCAGTGACCACAAATACCAGATTTAGGTAACACTTCTTTCCTTGTACTGAAGTTAGAATATGAACATGAGATTATTATTTTGCTAATCAGAAGAAAAATTCAGTTTTCAAGAGACATGTACTTCAAAAAGGTGGTAATGTATAAAGACCTATCTTCACTTAGATCCACTCATCTATTCTTTACCCTAAATTCACATTAAAAAAAAAAAAGGTAGAGGGAAAAACCCTAAAGTCATCACTTTAAGTTGTGCAATTAATTTATTTTTTTTTAAAACACAGTCACTAGACAGACATTGCTGGTGTGTCCATCCCTGTTCTATGGTTTTGCTCTGAGAGTGTATAATTGTTTTGAAGTAAAACAGAAAGAAAATTCTATTACAAAAACAAAACAGATAGTGCCACTCTAAAAACACAGAGGAGATGTGGGACCCAATTCAACAAATTGAAAAATGATGGGATTGTCTTGATCTGTTTGTCCCGATTTGGGGATAACCATTGTACAGTTTCCATATAGAAGTATCAGAGACAAAAAAATAACATTTATATTCTTTTACCAGAACTGTAACACACATTCAAATATTTTGTGTTATGCTCTGTTGGGTAAAATTGAACTGCCAGACTTGTGCTTCTCCTTCCCACTGTCCCTTCACTTTAACTTTCAAATATGAATTACCTTTGATTTTTCTAGTATTATTTTTCATTTACAGTGAAGTTTCAAAACATATCTAAGGGTTTTTACTGTATTAAAGAGACCGTACTTACTTCAAAAGGCTAGTGTTTTTTTTACTAAAAGGGCCAATGATCTTAAACATCAGTTCTACTACTCCATTCTTTCCCAAGGAAACTGCATTTACAGCTGGAAGAGTTAAAAACAATCCATTTTAAGATGATGTAATAAGAAAGGCAAAAGAAAAAAGTCAATATATTCAAACTGCAATTTTGACATAGAAAAAGATGTAAGAAATCCAGTGACAAGCAGACACTACTCTACACATCAGTGTAATAATCCTATCCTGACAAAATTTGGAAAAGAAGAAAAGAAAATTAATTAACAAAGAAAGCAGAAGCATGCATTTGATGTACTACATGATTGTATTTTTTATTAAGAAACGTCATAAAAAGAATTTTCTTAAAAAAAAATCTCAGTTTATCAAGACAGTGATGTTCCTAAAATTTCAAGTCTAACAAGTTCTGACTTCTTGTTATACTTCAGTACCGGGACAGCCAGGTATGTCCACCAGGATTTGAAAGCCAAGCATTCGTTGTAAAATTTAGAAATGCCAACTGGTGTAAGCTTTCCTGAGCCACATGTTACGCATATATGTTCTCAGGAAAAAAAAAAAAAAAGGAAAGAAAAAAAAAATCTATTTGAAAGGGAGCAAATTAAAAGAAATGAACATAGGTCTTAGACTTATGTTCAAGAAATACACGCTGGATGCATACATGGGTGAAGCCCAACATCCACTGAAAATACAAACTGCTGAAACAGGCACAGAAATGCAACTCCTGACTGAGTTTAGCAATATACACTCCTAACAAAGTAGGAAGAGCCCAACTTAAATTTGACTTCAACATACCTAACACTGTTATTAGTGTAGGATTTGGTACATGAACCCAAATTGCAATTTCACCATCATTACCAGCAACATCACACCACTAGAATCTAAGAAAAGTTAGGACTCTATTCTGGTAGCAACTGTACACAAATTTTAAATTGTACTACCTATCAGAATGTAGTAAACTACTACTTTTTCTGTTTGTAAGGAGTGAGAAATACCGAGAAATAGAATTGATCCAAGCAGAATCCAAATTAGAGATTCACTTCGATTTCCCATTTTCAGGATGAAGCAAGTTTTCAGCTAAGCTATGTAACTGTGTATTAACTCTTCCATTTACAAACATTTTACCTCATTATCAGACAGCTCAACAGAAATATAGTTCCCACATTTTAAATGTATTGGGACTTTATGAATTATAGGTGTTCCTGTGATGTTCTGAAAATGTGATCTTAGAGAACATCAAACCAATTCTTTTGGAGGAACGTGGTGATGTTTTCAATTTCCCATACTTATTTAAGAGGTTTAACAACCATTTTGAACTCAAAGGAAAAACTTCAGAGCATCTAACTGACAGCAGAGATACAGCAAGAACCACGCTATTTTCATCAACTTCTTACTGCCTGCCCAAAAAATTAATTAGGCTTTTATGGAAGAATATTAGTCCAATAGTAGGGTAATTCAACATAAGGAACAGTGGAAAGGTTACATAAGGAAATAAAATATTTCACAAAATATTGTGAACCAAGTGTTTAAATTAGCAATAAAGAATTAAGTAAGATAACAATGAGGATATAAAAAAAAGGAAAAAATCACACTACATGCGCATGTATAATAAAGATTTATTTAATTAGAAGTGCTTTTGCGAGCACAATGCTTCTGGCTTAGATCTTAAAGCATCAGCATTTATGCAAATTAGATGATCCAAAATTCCACACATCCAGTAACACTGGTTAACCCTCACCCGATTATATAATCACACACGCTGAATAAAAAACGAAGATGCACAATAAGTACAAACAAGCTGACCAGCTTTTACTAGAGTTAAGCAGTCCGACACTATAAAAAGCAAATTCTCAGATAAAAATAGTAACTTGAAAAATCTATCATTAATCAAGCATTTAAATCCGGTATTTTAATCATATCTAGGTAAAAAAATTTATATCGCATGGGAAAGAAAATTATTATCTGCAATACTTACAGTTCGTTGAGTAAACTCGTAATACTTGAAGACATGGCAATAATAGCCTCTGATTCTGCAAATTCTGCTTCACTAAATTCAATGATATGTTTAGGGCACCATTAATTCTTGCTTTCATGCCAATCTTCTTGTCTGAAAAAGAAATACAAGATCAGTCACACTAATGTTGAAATTATTATCAAAACAGAAAAAGTTAAATGAACTGTGAATTCCTTCTGCCAATAATGTCTGCTCTGTATATGTGTTTTTCACCATTCTTTCCTCACCTCTATTTTAATCCTTCTTTTGTTCTCCTGTACCAATTTTGAGTACATGGATACTTACACAAGAATAGAAAAATTTTCTTAGTTTCAATTATAAAACTGTAAAGTATTAAGCCATATTACTTAAGTATATCATTGTCACCTTTTGGACCAATTTTTGCAAGAAGTGTATGAAGGAGCACCATTAATTCTTCATTTGGTGGAGAGTCTTTGCTGGCAGTCAAAAGCAGCTGCAATAAGATCTGTGTCCCTCCTTTACTGACTAATAGGCTTGCTCTCCGACCACCACCTAAAAATTAAAACACAACTGATATCTCCAGAGTCAAAGACCAATCAAATATCTAAACAATAGTCACCATAAAGAAAGTCTTTAGAACAGCAATATTTTCTTCATATGCTGACTGTACTATGCAAGAACATGCTGGACTTTGACTTATAGCAACATATTAGTGTATGATTAGATGAAAGGTAATTTCAGTCTTCATGTTCTTTTTATTCTGCGTATAAGTCAGCTTTAGAAAGTGTCAAAACCAAAAACCACCATATACCCCCAAAACTCTGCAGAAGAATACAGTAATGTAATCATTAATTGCTTCTTAATGAAAACTTACCAACTGAGACTAGTTCAATGAGAATATTCAATATATTTAGAATAGTTTGAGGATCTTTCGTATTCTGCAATAAAAAAACAGATACTTCTTTGCTTAATATAGAAGTCTAAACAGTGGTTTAGATACTTAAAGCTCGGAGAAATTGCCACCACTATATCAAAGAGAACTGAAGATGTAGCCATGCAGCTAACCATCCCGCTATAGAGCCTCAATTAACCACAAAGCAACTAAAATCTAGTTTGTAGTATAGCATATTAATTAAAACTGGTAGCTCACAAGTAATTTCTTAGAATATTTAAAAATAAGGCAGAGAAATTCTTAAGTAGGTTAGATTGCATCTAACCATTAGAATTCTTCACAAGTTTGAAGACTAACTAGGATAACAACACAAATAATAAACATATTTAATAATACAAAGCCCAGTGATAAAATGAAAACTTGCTATGTACCCATAACCACACAGATTATGAGTTTTTACCTCTAGGGTTGACAGGATAACTTCTATTCCAGTGGAGCCTTTAGAAGTCATCTCCTTCCTGGTTTTTTCTGCCAGTAAGGAAAAAGACCATTTTTCTTTTAATCATAGAACCATAGAATCGTTTGGGTTGGAAGGACCTTAAAGATCATCTAGTTCCAACCCCCCTGCCATGGGCAGGGACACCTTCCACTAGACCAGGTTGCTCCAAGCCTCATCCAGCCTGGCCTTGGGACACTTCCAGGGATGGGGCATCCACAGCTTCTCTGGGCAACCTGTTCCAGTGCCCTCTCCGCTAGCTTGCAGAAAAAAAGTGATTATATACGGATCGATCAGAAAATCTGTACTAAAAATAACAACATCTATTAACAATTGGATATATCTATATAAAATTAAGTAAAATACTTAAGTGATTTTAAAAATAATTTTTGCTTTCACTTTTTCAACAATCTTGTCATGCCCTAGGAAAAAATAAAATCTGTAAGAAACCCCTCTACCAGATACTTGTAGTTCTCATATAAACACACATACGTACTGTGAATTCTTACTTTAATTATACCTGTTTGACAACACAAAATGCGCTCAGTGTAACCAATGCTATACCACATAGCATTAAACACAGCCTCAAACAGGTGCTTTCAACAATCAGCGACAAAAATGGATGGACTATCAAGTTCACCACAGAGAAACAAAAATTAAAGTCCAGCAAGGAAGAAATACAAAAAGGAAGGATCAGAAGGAAAACTACCAAACCCACAAAACTTAGGTATTTACCTTGACTCTGAACCAGATGAAGAATCTTTGAGGTAACATATCTGGCATTGTCTGCTTCTCCTAATACAGAGTCTAAATTGATCTTCTCCAGCTGTGACAGCAGAGACAGAATCCGAGAACTGGTAGAAACACTACAAGAAAGATTTTTTTACATTTATTTTTCCATCTAGATCAGGAAAAAAAAAAGAAGATAAAAAACAACCAACCAACCAACCCACCCCCCAAAAACGCAACACTAACAACAGAAATCCCATGTCAGAGTAAGGGGAGTGACTAATTCACCTTCATGCTTTATCTCTATTGGAAAACAGTCTTAATTCTCCTTCAGTTCTGGCAAATTTACAGATTTTTCAAAGCCTGTACTGCAGCAGACTAATTATATATAATGCATCTCCAAGAGCAACTGTGAAAAGGGAAATCAGCTGCAGCAAATAAAATCCAGATACAGGTACAAATGTTGTTTATCTATGTTAATTACAGTAACTTATATTTAATATAGTTTATGTTAAGTGCCAGGATATGGTATCCAACCTGCCATTCAAGGAAAAACTGGCTACAAACAGTCCCCCAAACTGTTCTCTTACAGGCTGGTGTTCTGAAGTGAAAGAAAATATTATCATTCATCAAGTGAACAAACCAGCACCCACCAACTGGAAAAAAAGAACATCATTTTGAAAAAAAAACTCTTGAAGTTGTCCAAAGCTATCATCAGAGTTTGGATTCATTTTGAGCACATTTTAACCTGACATCATAAGATAGCCTTGGAAATGTATTTTAACATAAGGAACAATTCCAAAACAGGTGTTCATATACATAGGTAGATTACAGAAAAAGAATGATTATAAGTATTTACAGAATTCAAAACAGAGTTATTCTAGGAATTGTTTTATTTGCTCTCAGTTTTAGATCATAATTATTCAGAATAGTTTTGAGATGTACATTCCCATATAGAAGTAACTTTCAGACAAATGTTTAACATTTGAATTAGTCATGTAATTAACCACAAGAAATTATGATTTCCAAGATTTAAATACCTTGACTTTTCCCTTTTGTAACATTAGAGTCCTGCATTAATCAACAATAATTCATTTTACACACATACTGTCCTGTCTCCAGTAAAAATGAAGTATATAACTGTAGCTTTATAAATACTGTTACTTTTGCTTATAACAATGAGGAATTAATATTCCATGATTTGAATTGTGTGATAAGGTTTCACACGTACAGTTAACTCCACTAAAATAATTCTTCTAGATGATGACAGAAATGTTAAAATCAAGGGAAAAAGGTAGTTGATGGCGAAGGCTTTAGTGCTGTGAAAGCAAATTGATATAACAGCTGCTGAGGAAATTGCTTCCAACCCTTTCACTTTTCCACACTGATATCTGAATGAGCAGCATAACCAAAAAACCAATTCAACATTACAGGTGATACAAGTTGTTAACGTAAGTAATAGGAAATGGTTACAATAATGGTCGAGCTTAAGTGAAAATAATTTTATATTGTGAAGTAAGTATATCACTTTCTTAGATATTTCCTAGACTTTGATGTAATAGTATTTTTTGCTCTAAAATAAATGTCTTGGTTGCTGTAATACCACTATCCTTGTATATGTAAAGCATAATCCCTCCAATCCTTTCTCATCATCCAAAACCAGGCTGAATAGTATAAAGCCATTATTTGCATCAGCTTTGTCTTGTTTACTTATACTCCTCCATTTATCCACTGAACATTAACTACTCCAACATAAACCCAAAGATACTAATGAAATCCACAAGCTCTGTTCATCCGGTGTACAAACTGACAAACTTCCAAAGGATGTTATCTTCACCAGCTCCACAATCAAAACACGAGTCCAGTCAACCCACATAAAAGCCAACGTGTAAGAAAACTGTTGCTCCGGTTTGTGTGCACGCGCACACGTGTGTATTTCAACTGTACCATATCATTGGTCTCACAATGACATAAATGTAGTTTCAAAGCTGGAAACAACCCACAAAAGCAAAGACGATCCTTCGGAACATATTAAAAAATAAAGAAAATATAAGTTTTCATAAAGACAGAAGTCATTGGGAGGAATTAAAATTTAATAGCAACTGGATTTTTGAATGCTGTGGCCTGCAAAATTCAAGCAACACTGTCAGATGGAAGAAATATATCATGTACAGAAAGTTAGCATGTAACACAATTTCTCCGTACTTACTAAAAGCTTTAAAAGGTTGAGGAAGGGTAAGTCATTCTCACTACTGGGTAGTACAACAACTCAAGCCCTGTGTTTTAGAGGTCTGATGTCCTCCTTGGACCAGAGTTTCTACCAAGAGCAATGAGCGCCCACTGTAGCAGCCAAAGAGATATCTTAGGCTATACATCTTACAAGAAGTATTCTGACAGAAATACAGCCAAATAAACCACATCTTCGGCATACACAATAAAATGTTCTTGAAAATAACACCAGCCAAGAGTCTATGCTGAAATAAAAATTTAAGTCCTGGTTTTCTCTTCACTATGACTGAGTCTTCTTAAAACAAGAACTGTACTCTTATTTATTAATATTCTAATCTAATATACCTCGTGGTTATAATATTCTAACAGCTTTCAATGTCTGCACATTGAATGGCAGCCAGCCAGCCTGACTCTGCTCCTGTACATATTAGTGCTGTGATAACCCATTTGACCCAAGAATAAAATGTAAGCCAAATCTGCAGTGGGATTCTTTGTGATATTTGTCATGCAAGTACATATGCTTCGAATAACAAACCATTCAGGATTTAAATCTAGAAGATAGCTCTCCAAAACAGAAAGGCACCGTGGAATTCAGTACTTTTAATCCGACAGCTAGGTAAACCATGGAAGAGAGTCAGAATGGCACAACAAACACTGTGTCCTGTCAGAGCTAGATTTCCTCTTAAGCTGCTGACATTGCAGAATCCCACAAGAATACCCAGAATGCTGTGGCCAGCCTTTCACACAAGACTTGTTTGCCCACAACGTGTAGAACCCTTCCTGTTACTACGAGAGACGTTTTACACCCCACCCATTCCAAAGCCTTCTCATAAGAGCACTCTGTAGTCACTGAGGGTTACGCAGAGTCTCTACTATGTTTAATTATAAAAATCCTAACTAAGGAGCATCAGAAGAAACTTCCTAGGGCCTAGAAAGAGGCCCGTCCTCTTCAGAAACTATTCTCTTCAGAGCTGGATGACCACAACTGCCCTTCATGACAGACCGGTGCCCCATCAGCCCTTAAAGGATTGCAAAACTGGAGAATCAATAACCAAAGGCAATGTTGTTCTGACACTTTGTACCCCTTCACTTCAAAGTTTTTCTCCCTGCAGTTTACTTACTTACTATTATCTTACTATTTCTGGCCCTCCTCACTACAAGCATGACTGTCCTTTACCCATTCCAGTGATATACCCCTCTGAGCTCAGTACCTCACACATATTTCCATCTAATATTCTTAACCATTTTCTGCATTTCCAAGAATATTTTGAAATCATTTGGTCCTCCAATATTTTTGCAGGTATTTCCAGCTTCAAGATGTCTGCAATTTTAACAAGAACTCTTTCTTCCGGATCATAAGTTGAAGCTCATAGTATTTTCAGCCATTAACTATAACCAGAAAGAGTGAGCACATCCAAAATCAAACTGTGCGCCATTTCCTTCTGACAGTAATCAACTACCACTGCTCTGGTACACACTCAGTGCTCGACTCCGGAGCACTTTGATGGAACACTTGCCTTAGCTTCCTGATGGCCATCAGACGCAACGGTTATTTTAGTAAAGCTTTAGAAACAGTTATGTGGTAAGGTTCCCTGCTCACGGGACCTGTTACTCTCTCACACATGAAAACACAGTGTATTTTCAAGAACAACCCAAACCATCTTTGCCTGTTTGCAGCCTCACCCATCTGGTCAGTTCTTACAGTGCGAAGAACAAAAGATGGCTGTTCTACAGCTACTCAGTTTCTGTTCCCTAATGCTCACAGACAGCTCCACCTTTCACTTCTTAACCCAAATCTCATGAGTTCTGAGGACAACCAATAATTACTATTTTGGGATGCATTTAGACTTTCTTTAAGCATCCTGAAGTGAAGTTTACCAGGTTTATTTGATCCCGTACACAGCCTGCCTCAATAGGCAGGAAACCCTTTCTCTAGCCCACATTCAAATGCCACAGCTCAAAATGCCCCTCACACCACCCATCTCACTCACAGAATGAACAAGTTGGCCATCATCACAACTATTGCCAAAGCATTAGGCGTGACTGGCTAACCACAGAGCTTTGTGGGTTTCCTCCTCCTCTGGTTCGGAAAACTACAAGTAGATATAAAGGGAAGCAACTGCCCAGACTGTGAGGAACAGGGGAGTTCAGGGGTTCATGTTTCAAAGAGAAGTCCCTCAACAAGAAAACGTCCTCCCAAACGTGCTGGCTTCAGTCAGGGAAGAGCTGCTTTACTTCACAGCTGGACGGCTGGCCCAGGCTGGCCAAGGGAGTGCTCCATTCCACGTCACGCTCAGCGCACATGTGCAGTTCTGAGACAGGAAGAGGCCTGGGGGTGTGGTTGGCATATCGCTGGTGTTGGGAGGAACCCTCTATCTGTGTTTAATATTGTCAGCACGCTGGTGCTTTGTGAGCCGTCTCCCAGAGTCTTTCAGTAATTACACCTTTCCCTTTTTCTCTTTGGGAACTCAGCCTATAGAGGAGAGATTATTCGGTGCTGACTTGGATGTGAAGAAATTAATTTTTTCTCTCTTCTCTCAGGCCAAAAGCAAAGGTGTACAAGTATTTTGGAAATTTCTCATGGGCTTAGGGTGACCTACGGTTAGGGATCAGCTTGCTTCTCAATGTTTTCTTGATCCAGTGTAAGGTTAAAGAACAGTTTGGGAATGCTGCCCCATCTGCTGCCGGTGCTTGGGGCAGGGGCAGGCTCTGTGCAGCCACCCGAATCACCCTAACACGAAGGGGAGGGGCATGGACCCATGCAGCGGGCAGGG